TGAGGAGGGGGATGGAGACCATCTGCTCGACGGGTTCGGGCAGAGGCCATGGAAGTCAGCAGGGATGAAGCGTGTGTGAAACAGCAGAGCCATGAAGGTCACTGAGCCATACACTTTAAAGGGGGTTATTTCCTGTTATAAGAACTTCTCTTCAGGGACACCCGGGTGGCTCAGTGGGTTAAGTCTCTGCCTTCAGCTCAGGTCATGGTCTCAGGGTCCTGGGATCGAGCCCCACATCGGGCTCTCTGCTCAGCGGGGAGCCTGCTTCCCCCTCTCTCTCTGCCTGCCTCTCTGCCTATTTGCGATCTCTGTCTGTCAAATAAATAAATAAAAATCTTTTTTAAAAAAATGTTTCTATGGTCAATGTCAAAGAGATTCCTATGTTTAAAAAAATAAAAGAACTTCTCTCCAACAAAAAAGCATATACAACGATGTCTCGTTTCCTAAATATTTCAATCATTATATTTTAATACAATAACCCTAGGAGATCTCTTTTATGGATTTAAGACTATTTTGCTGAGAAGGGGTCTGTTGGCTTCCCCAGATGCTACAGGGCTCCTTGGTACAAAAGGGTTGGAGTCCCCTGGACCGGGGCTCTCCGTGGCCCACTCTTCACTCTGTTCACACCTGGACAGGTACAGCCCTGCCTCCTGCCCCCGGCCCTGACCCGGCCCATCTGGCCCCGAGTACAAAAGCCGCTGGCGAAACCCTGAGTGCGCCCCTCATCCCCACTAGGTCTCTCATTCGGGGGGAAGACTCTCAGATCCCCAGCAGTCGCTCTAAAGCTGCAGAGGTCCCAGGAAAGGTGAGATTCAGCAGCTTACCGGGGTGACTCTGCAGACAGGTGAGACTGGGCCAGGCGACAGGACGAGGACGGCGGGGCTTCGGAGAGGGGCTGGGGGGCACAAGCAGCAAAACGGGAACGAGGAGACCAACAGAGCACCCGAGTGCGCAAGAGCTGCCCGGCTGGGGCTGCCAGGTGTGCCCAAGGCCGGCTTGCCGTCCTGAATGGGGACCGTGTCGCTCCGCACCTGGCAGTGCCTCCCACCACCCGGGATGGGGGCAGACGGCCCTGAGCACCTCTCCCCGAGCCCGCCTGGCAATGAGCCTACCTCCAGCCCACGCCCATCTGACAGCGTGGCCCCCCCCCACCCCTGCCGGCAGACCCGGGCCCACCGTTCTTGACTCGAGCCGTCGGCTGCCATCTGCCCCTCTGCGTATGCAGCCCTGGGGAGCATCACGTGCTGTCTCTCCGCCTGCGACGTGCCGGGTAGTCCATAAGCAGTGAGCGCAGGCGGCCCCTCCGATGAGCCTGTGCACTGTTACGGGACGAGAAACCACTGCTCAGAAGGGGACGTGAACCCAAGACCCGCGCTCTCTCCGGCAGAGCCCCCCTGCCCTGAGAACATCACCTCTGTCTCCAGAGTCCCCTCGACCCTGAATCATGCGTCATCTGCACGGAACGGGGCTGGGCTTCTGTGCGCCGGGCCCGTGCCCGTGGGCTGGAAGCACAGCCATAAACAGGTGCTCAGGTTCTAGACCGAGAGGCGGGAAGGACACTACAGACAAGAAATCCCACAAGGCTATCTCAGCGTGCAGTCAGAGCTGCGTGAGTGAAGACGGTCTGCCTTCTGCCCCAGGACTAACAAAGCCTGAAAGCCCAGTGCTTCGTGGGAAGGTCACCTCTCACCTCTGGTCCATGTGGCTCAGCAGCCCCTTTCGGCAGCTCTCCTCCCACCGGCGACTCCGGCTCCGGGCTCCTGATGTCCCGGGCTCTTCTGTCTCACACAGGTGGCCGCCTTGGTCACCGTGGAAGGGAATAGCGAGTGTGGATGGTCCCACAAGAGGCTCTGTGGCAAGGTCTAGACGTGGCGTGTGTCACTTCTGTCCATGACCCACTAGCCCCAACCTAACTGCAAGGAAGGCTGAGAAACACGGTCTTCTTTGAAATCCAGGAAGATGCGAACAAAATGGAATTTGATGGCCACAGGATGTTGTCTCCACCACAAGAAGAGTAGAGGAAATAGAATGATGGACCAGAAAGTGACTGGGACGAGGTGCCCAGGGTCAGGGAAGGTCACTGTAGGGCTGACCTGGGGGAACCAGGCAGGACACAGCCTTCCAGTAACAGCGGACACACAGGCACGTGCAAACAGTCGATGCCTAAAAACACCAGGCACGTTCAAGGGACACAAAGGAGGTGGGCAGGAATGGGCAAGGGAGGGAGGAGACTCGAGGCTGGCCACGCAAGCCGGGTCAGATGGGCAGCCTGAGCACATGTCAGAGTCACCTGGACCCTCTCCCAAGGACCCTGATCTGGTTATTCTGGCCTGGAGCCACGCCTCAATTCATGACTGCTATTCTCTTTAAGAAAATAACACGCGTGCCCCAAAATGCGCAGAGCGCGTGTGCTCCACAATTAGTCATGAAGTGGACCGTCCAGGCTCACGTCATTGGGATCAAAACATAGAACATCAGAAACCTTCAGAAGGCCCCTAACTCGCCAGTCACTTCCCCTTCCTCCTCCCTCAAGATCATCAGTCATGACCTTGCCTGTTCCTAAACCCTGTGTGAACAGGTAATATGGCTGACAACCAACTTTGGGTCTGGGTCCTTCAGGCTACGTTATTTCTGGGAGGTTCACTGGCTGGTACGTATCCCCCCGGGTGAGGTTTTTATACCAGTTTTGTTTGGCCTCTTGGACACCTTGCTGGCTTCCCATCTACAGCTACGAAAACAATGGTGCTGTGCCCCCTCTTCGGCGCGGGTGCCTTGGTGCCCAGGCGCACGTAGGTCCCTTGGTGGATGTCCGGGAGTCGGGCAGGTGTATGCGCAGCTTCAGGAGATGCTGCTAAACGGTTTTCCAAAGGGTGACTGTTCCCATGGTCCTCCATCTTCACCGGCCCTGGGGGTCACCCGTCTACTCATTTTAGGGACCCTCCTGGGTTACAGCGGTGTCTCTGTGTGCATTTCTCTGGTGGCGAGTAAGGTCCTTGGTGAAGAACTTGTTCAAGTCTCACACCCGTCTTCCCACAAACCCCTTTGCAAGTCTGATCTCCAGAAACGTCTCCTCCGGTTTTGTGCCTGCCTTTCCGCTCTCTGGATGGCGACTCTCGGTGAACGGGAGCCCTTCGTTTTAACATAACCCGTTTGTCCGTCACCTCCCTTACGGTTAGTGCCCTTTGTATCATGAGAATTTTCCCGATGGTCTTCTGTATCATCTTCTAGAGGGCAGGACTGAATTCCACGGGTGTGAGGTAGGGGTCAAGCTTCCTGGGTTTCTCAGGCGGCGGTCCGCTGACCCAGCGCCACTGATAGCAAAGAGCATCCGTGCCAGCGCCTTGAAAGGGCCACCTTAGTCTAATGCGTCATTTCCCCGTATATGCTGTGTTCTCTGCTCCGTTCACCGGTCTGCTTGTCTAGCTCTCTATTCACTGTTTCAACCTCTCTTGCTGGCCCTAACATGAAAACCACGGATCTAGGACCTCGCAGTTTATGGCAACAGGTTCGAGTGTTAGTCTAAAGGCAAGTATGTAGATGCCCAACAAGGGATTTTCAGAGAAAAATGGATTAAATTCACAATGTAGGAAGAGCGATGCCAGAACCACGGGGAGAGGTTCCGTGGTGTGGGCGGGGAAACTGGGTAAGGGGCCAGAAGCCAAGATGCCCAGATCAGGCCATGCCGCTCCCCACTCCTTCCCTTTCTGCCCTCTCCAGACCTCCAGATCCACCCAAGCCACAGTGCAAAACACCAACAAAGGCCAGAAGAAAGTTTCCCGCCCGGGTCCCCAGCCACAGCTACAGAAATCTGACCCCACTGGCAACTAGTTTATTCTCAAGTTGCCATGGCACTTCCTGTAATTAATGGCCAGGTTTTAATTAAACATTGATTAGCCACTAATTAGTCTAATGATCAGTCCTAGGGAAGAGACAGGCTGTCAGACCCCATAAAGGAGGCAGGAGAGATAATGAAAGATTATGGCTTAGGTGGAAAAGCTCTTCCTCCCACCCTCCAAGCCGAATGTTTTCTATGATTTTGGTCTTTTATAAACGATGCTTTCAATGTGAATTTTTCTAATCGGTTTGAGTCTGATGAAGTCCCAGGCGGCTGGTGCAAGGAAGATTGAATCCACTCGCCTTTTCATCAGACTTCAGCCTCTTAACACAGCTAAAGAGCCTTTTCCCACTTAGAGAGGAATTAGTTTCTGTCTCCACAATGAAGTCATCCTGGGCTGAGGCCGTCCCCCTCCCACGTCCTTTGTGGGGGCCCAGACCTTGCCAAGGACTTCCGAGATGTGAGTGCAGCCGGGCTTCTCCCCCGGAGCGGATCCTGCAACGCCTGATGCCCCACGTCCCGCTTCGCTCACTCCCCGGCCCTCCGCCCTCCCCCAGAAAGAGAGGTTGGGCTGCGGCACGTGGACACCGCTCGGCACCAGCTGCCTTGGAAGCCACCGGTAGGAAGTTCAGAACGTGGAGAATCTTCGCGGCAGACACAGTGTGATGATGTCGGTTAATGAACCCTAGTGCACCCTTTGTAAGTTCGGGTTTATGAACAACAATACAAAATTCCCAGAAAGCCCCGTGCTGAGCACAAAGCTCGGGAGAGAACAGAAGCCTGAAACCTGGAACCCGGGGAGCCTCTGGGTCGGGGGAAGACGCCCGCCCCCGAGAAGGCAGGTCCTGACAAGCGGGACTGGAGAGCCTTCGAGAGACTGGAGAGAGCCTGGGCCAGGTAAGGCCTGAGAAAGACCTGGAAGCAGACGGAAACGCTCATGCTGCTTTTTTTTTTTTTTTTTAAGATTTTATTTATTTATTTGACAGACAGGGATCACAAGTAGGCAGAGAGGCAGGCGGGGGAGGGGGGGAGGCAGGCTCCCTGGGGAGCAGAGAGCCTGATGCGGGGCTCCATCCCAGGACCCTGAGACCATGACCTGAGCTGAAGGCACAGAATCAACCCACTGAGCCTCCCAGGCGCCCCATGCTGCTTTTTTTTTTTTATTGTAGTAAAATACACATAACATAAAATTGAGCATTTAACTGCGTACGAGCACACAGCTCTGTGGCTCCACATCATGGAGCAGCCGTCACCACCGTCCGCCCACATCCTCGCGTCTCAGAGCCAAACTCTGTGTCCATTAGACATCAACCACCTCCCGCCTCCCCGAGCCTGACACGCCCCGCCCACCTCCTGTCCCTACGAATCGGACGACTCCGGGGATCTCGCATCGGTGGGATCTTACGGTACTTGTCCTGCGACTGGATTACTTCGATCCACAGAACAATCTCAAGGCGACACGCACCGTAGCCGGTGTCAGAAGCCACTTCCTCTTCACGTCTGGGTAACACACTGTGCGCGGCTGTTCCCGTGTTCATGCAACCATCAACGGACCCATGGCCACTTCCGCCGTCCGGCCGTGGTGCAGAAAGGTGGCACTTCTCCATCTAGCAAATGTTGTTACCTGCGTCTTCGGGTGGAAGAGCGGGTGACACGGGACCTGGCAAGCCCCCCCGGGCTCTGCTTCGCTCTCCTGAATCGACAAGAATACCCAAGACCTGTGGCGGCTCCCGAGACACCATCCACGTTCTCACGTCTCCTTTTACCGAGTTTTCTCGTTGTGTCCCGAGAGCTTCTGCCACACGAGCACGTGGGACGTGTTCTGCCCAGACTTTGTCATCCTGCCGACACCTGCCATGAGCTGGGGGAGGAGCCCTCTTCATCGGGAAGGGGGCCAGGAGCAGAGCCCAGAGGAAGGGCCTAGAAACCGGAAAGGGGGGTCGGAGCCCAGTCCTGCCCTGAGGCAGACAAGTCCTTGGGCCTCTCTTTGCTCCACTGTAAATTGGGCGCGACCCCAGGCTGGCTCTGGCGAAACCACGTGTTGGGGCCATGGGCTGTGTGCCATACGCGAGGCGTGGCATCCGTGGATTTTCTGGCTTTCGACCCTGGGTTCCAGGAACGGGACTCAGAGGGAGCGCTCGCTCTCTGGGAGGAGGGACCGGGCTCCAGCAGCACAAGAAGTGTCCTGAGCTGTCACTGGTGCCTCTCCAGGCGCTTCTGTCTCCATGAAATGCTGAGTAGCCACGGAGGGCAGATACATACCTGGTGCCAAGCCTCACAAAAGCCACTTTCCCGATGGTGGGACATGAATCCCCATGATAGTTTTATTGTGCTCACTTCAAAAGTCAGGAAATTTGGGGCACAGAGCTGTCACGTACCGTGGCCAAGCTGAGCCTGAAGTCCCTGGCAGAGACAGTGAGCAGGCTCCAGAGCAGGCGTCCGCGGGGCCGGCCCTGCCCGCACCCCCACAGCATGCCAGGGAGACCAGATGTCCTGTTCTGGCCAAAGGGGGAGGATTGGAAGGACGTGCTGTCACTTCCAGACTGAGGTGGCTGTGTCCTGTTGGACTGTCCCTATGTTGCCTCCACAGCCAGCTGAGTCCCTTCTGGGGACAAAGTCAGCTGGACATTGTGAGCAGAAGTAAGCAGGCTGTGTGTCGAGTCCGTGGTGTCTGAGGACTGCCTGTCCAGCGGTCAGCAGGACTGACTGATACATCCTGCTCACAGTCAAGGCCACGCTCCCGGGGTGGCCTCCAGCCCTGCTAGGTGAGGATGAGGTATGGGTTTTAGAGGGAGGCATCGGCCCTGACAGAGAGCACTGCCACAGCGGGGCCGTGGTCATGCCCGCTCATCATGGATGAGGCCAGCCTGCTGTCCAGCCCCACATTGGGCTCCTGGAGGGTTGGCCCGCTCAGCCTCCCGTGGCGGGCTCAGCAAAGGCTGGGCCAGGAACTGGCAGTCCAGAGACACACAGAACGCAGCCTGTGGCCTTGGAAGATGACAAGTTCAAGAGAGGGGGGTGAGGTGAGGTCCAGACATGCAGCCCGGAGGCTCAGGATTCCCGGGAGATTCCTCAGTTCAGTCTTAAAGGCGGACCAGCAGCAGAGACAGGGAGCGGACACACCAGGCAGAGGGCACGGGTGAGCAAAGACGCAGAGGCACAAGGAGGCACGTGAGGGGCCCGCACTATGGGGCATGGTGGACCAGGGGATGGCAGGTGACAGGGACCCGCAGGTTGGGCTGGGCAGCCAGGACCACCAGGGGCTGGGTGTGAGCAGAGGAGGGACCCCAGCCGGTTCCCACCCTAAATCTATCCCCTTAGCGGCAGCAGGGAGCATGGCTAGCGGCAGGGGGAAGAGGTGTACCTGATGGTCCTACTGGCCACTGGAGTCCAGACAAGATGAAAGCACCCCACGGTTAAGGGTTTGGCAGCCGGCAAAGGCCCAGCACCGGACGCCCAAAAGAAAAGAGGTCAGATCTAAGACTTGGCTTCAAAGTGTTGGCGCCACAGCAGTATTTCCAGCCGAGACACAGAAATGAGGGGACGTTCGAAATCCAACTTCCTCTCAGAAAGAACCCCAGATGAGGCCAAGGACAGTGTGCCATGACTGCACAGTTAGTGAGAACAAAAAAGCAGCCATTGTTACTGGAGACCACTAAGCACGCACCCTGAGCTCAGGGAGGAAAGGACCACTTCTAGCTGGAGACAACAGAAGGCTTCCTGGAGGAGGTGACATTTGAGTGGGGTTCTGAAGGATGTATAGGAGGATTCCCAGGAGTGGAAATATCCAGGCACATGCCCCACACAGAAGTCCTGGCCCAAGGGATGAGAAGCTCAAACAGTGACCAGACACAGTGAGAGGGGACAGAACAGCCCCACCAGAAATGCACTCAGTCATTCAACAATCATGAATCGGCTGCCCAGGTCTGGGTTCAGGGCGCTGAGACCACAGACTGGACTGAGCCGGTGGGTGACAAGGCCGAGTGTCGCTGGGGCAGGAGAAGATGGAAGGTGAAGCCAGAGACAGAGAGGCCCCCGGCGGGCCGCTGCTGGAGACACCAGACACGAGGCGAGCTGCGGTCAAGCCGTGCCTGCGTGAGTTATTTTCCATCCACCAGGAGCCCACTGGGGTCCTGTGAGCCGTGTGTGGCTGACCGTCGCTCATCACTGTGCTGATTCTGGGGTGCAGCTCAGGCCGGAGTGTGGGCTCTCTGACAGCTGGCAGGGCTGGTGTCCCGGCCCGGGGCTCCCTGTCTCCCACTGCCCTCTGCATTCGCCTGCAGAAGTGAAGGGATATTGACCGCCGCCCACAACTCATCGGACGCCAATCAGGGGGATCGATGGGGTCAGGTCACAGGGCCAGCACCCCAACGGGACCTGGGCAGCGTGCTCCTTGCTGATTTGCATTTTAAGGATAAAGAGACAGCTGTCCCTTTTGCCAGGAGGCATTTAAGGATCTTAATCTCTTCGCTGGGGGAGAAGAGTCGGGTCTCGGCCGTGGCACGGTTCAGCGCAGCTTCAAAACGAAGCGGCCTCCTTCTGGGGTGAAGGTCATGGCTGGGACTCACCGCTGCTGGCCACTTGCTGTGCAACATGTCCAGCTGGCTCAGCAAACAGAACCGCTCCGGACATTCCCGATACCGTCAGTGCCGACGAGGACTGAAGGCAGAGCTGTGGAGGAGCGAGGGCCGGGTGGGCAAGGGAGGCGTGCAGCGCGGCCCAGCCCCAGCTGCGCACACCACGCCCCCAGCTCCAGACACCCACAGATGCTCCAGCCCCCGGGCGCCACTCCGGTCCCTGGAGCCCCGGACATACGCACGCACCCTGTGATCTCGCCCCGCCAGCTGCAATCTGTTAGCGGCGGGGAGAGGCCAAGTCCCCGTCTTTTCTGCAAGGGACTCTTCCACTCAACGCTCCTTCCCCAGCAGCAAACAGCACCTTGCAGACCAGACCCTCGGCACGCTCATGCATCCCAGGAGCTGGGGCAGAGGGCTCCGGACGTCCTCCTGGCGGGAAGGGTGGGGAGCAAAAGGTATTTCTTCCGGGTCTCTGTGGCAGGACCCAGCGGCTCCCTGCGTGTTCGCTGCCCTCTCAGCCCACCTGGAGGGAACGCGGGCAGCCTGCGGTGAGGCAGGTGGGGGCTCCCGGGGGCACGGTGTGGGGACCGAGGGCCAGCCCATGCCCGTAGGCTGCCTTCTCCAGGCCAGCCCCGGAGCCGTGCCCTCCCAGCCACCCCCAGACTCCCAGGAACAAAATGGACACGCGTGAACACGTTTCCTGGTGCATTGATCACACTGGGCACCTGGAAACTGCTTCTCTCCTGGTGGCATCCAGAGAGCTGTTTCCCAGGACGCTGATGCGCTGGAGTGTGCCCTCTGTGCAGGGAAGAGGCCCGGCCCTGGTCGCCAGCCCCAAAGAACACAAAAGGCTGACAGCCACACCGGTCAGAGACAGGGTCCAGATTTCCACTGTGGCCAAGGAGGAAGCCCACGGACCGCCTCAAGCCTCCAGAGAGCCAGGCCTCAGGCTTCCCCCTGGGCATAGCACCAGCCCTCGGGGAGACACAGAGCACGTTGGCAAGAAGAGTCACCATGTCACCGCAGGTGCCTCTGAGTGCTGTGACAAGAAAACCGAATGCTGCGATAGGAGGTAACGGGCCAAGGGCAGAGACGCGTCAGCACCTGCAGGTGGACAGGAGGAGACCAGAGGACCGTGGAGCTGAGACCTCTCCCCACCCCCCTGGGCCAGCAGAGCCCTGGGAGCCTGGCCTGTGCACCTACACACACACGTGTACACAGAGAGGCGTGCACACCCACATGGACGCACACACATGTATACGTATGCACACAGAGATGTGCACATGCGTGTGTACACGCAGATACTAGACTCATGTGCACTGATGTACATTCACACAGACCCGTGTACATGCATGTGCACGCATGTGTGTCTACGTGCACCAACACAGACACACACACGTGCACACACACTTCTGCAGGGGTACTTTTACAGGGATTTGACTCCACACCACGACGGAGGGAGCGACGTAAGGTGTCTCTCTGAGGAACGTGAGGTCCACAGGGCAGGCAGAGAGAAAGGGGTGGTGGCTGGCAGGTGAGAGGGGAAACCCGCCCCACCCCCGCCATGAGCTGGAACCTGCAGGGACAGCCGCTGTGGCCACTGCCCCTCACGCTTAGAAACGACCCACCCATTACCTGCTGGGGGGCTGAGACCTGCGTGCAGCTTGCAGATTTTAATGATTGCAGGATGTCCCTACGGTGTCCTCACCAGATGACCTAGAAGAAGCGCACAACCAGGGGGCTCCGGGTGGGGACTCCCATGAGCGCTGCCAGGAAGGCAGAGGGAGGGGACACCTGGGGCAGGGGAGTGGCAGGAGGGGACCTCAGCCTGGGGCCAGCCCCTTGTACTGCCTGTCCTGGTTGCGGGGACGGGGGGTAGTGCTCCACAGAGGGGCCGCTCCAAGCCGCCGGATTCGGTGGGACACCAGCAGCACCCTCCCTGGCAGGGACCCCTCTTGCAGGTCCTCCCCCTCCTCCTCCCCATCCTCCCAGCCTAGATGGGCTTGAAAACCACAGCGCGGCAAAATTCTCTCCTTGTCCCGAGACCCGACACAACCCAGCTGCTCCTGGTGGCACAGCCCAGGGAGCCGATTCAGTGATGGCAATTATCGGCACCATCCGGGCTGCCCAAAACCTTTGGGAAGGCGCCTCGGGTCCTCGCAGGTCCAGCGGAGCAGATAATGATAACAATGAGGAAAAGCCCGGGGATCCGGGCCGCATCGATTTCTTGTTTTGTTTTGCCCCAAGTGGAGGTCATTTTACGGGCAGGGCAGGAAGGAATTACCTCCTCTCCCCGCTCCAAGGAGGTTCTGCTCTCATCTGGTGACACGAGCTTGGCAAGGGGCTTGGGGTCCCAGCCCCGCTGTGACCGGGGACCGGCGGCCGTGAGCAGCTGCCGCTCCCCCAACCCATCCCTGCCGCCACGGCAGACAGTTCGCGCGGATTCTGTGTCGTATGGGCGGCTCCACACGCCTTCGTCACGTACGCATCGGACCACGGCACTGACAGAAGCCAGGCCGCCGGGACGATCAGGCCCGACACAGAGGGGTCGGGGTGGTGCGGGGCCACCGAGCAGAAGGCCGGGCAGCCGGCGGGCCCCGGCAGATGGGCGCAGGCTTGAGTCGCCAGGGCAGACAGAAGGTTCCAGGAGACGCCCTCTGCCCGAGCCTGCCTCCCCAGGCCGCACCAAGCTTGTTCGCGGCTAATGAGCCCTAATTAACATCTTGACGAGGTTGTGTGCTGTTTATATTTGGAAACTTTGTACCGTGTTGGTTGTTGCTTTTGTTGGACTCATGGTGCTCAGGTTGGATCCTCTCCTCCCCGGGCCTGTCCTCTCCTCCTCCCCGGCCTCCTGCCCTCAACCAGCACTCTGAGCCCGATCACTTGCTGGGGCCACGTGCTAGCTGCATCCACGGCTCTTCTCCAGACCATCATGGGCTCCCGGCTATGTATCCGGACTTCCAAGCCCATCCTGCTTCCCTCCAGGCAACTCGTTGATTCTGGCACCTGCCTCTGTGTTCACCACTCTTTGGCTGGGACGTCAGGGAAGGAGGGTCCTCAGAGACCATTTGGATGAACTGAGGGCCAAGGCACCAGAACCAAGGTAAAACCCAGAGCCTGGACCTGCTCAGAACACCCTCGGGTACCGAGCCCCTCACTGAAACATCCAGGTGTTCTGGGGGGAGCAGTAGGCACCTGTAGTCATCCAGAGAAAAATACCTTTTTCCCAAGTTCTATGGCAATTCAGGAGCAAGCTTAGATACAGAGGTCATGATAAGGGGGAGAAGGACTGTGCCCTCAGGTAGGGGATCTAGGACCACCACTAGCTCGTACAGCCTGCTTCCAATGTGCTTTTCCAACTCTGCCTCCCACCTCCTCAAACCCTGTCCAGCCTCCCTGCTAACCTCACACACTCAGAGTTCTGCCTTCTTACTTCTGCACCCCTGCACAGCCCTCCTCTCCCTGACACCTTCCCTCTTTCAGACCCAGTGCCTTAGTCAGCTTCTCCCACATAACTCTGCATAACAAACTTCCCCCAAAGTCAGTGGCTCACAAAAGAATCTGCCATCATTCTGACATGTCTGCAGACAGATCTCCTTTCTGCTGGTTAAAAACGGACTCAGCGGGCCAGCCCTGTCTCAGGATGGGTATGGCCTGAGCTTGACTCCGGGCTGTGGGCTGGGCCCAGGTCTGCTCCCCAGGTATCTCTCCAAAGCCCAGGCTGGTGGGGCCCTGCTCCAGGCATATCCACCGGAGCACAGGATCCAAGCACGCACTCTGCTCGTGCTTTGTCCACTATCATCCCACTGACCAGCACAGGCCACTTGATCTCCCTTGGCATTGATGGGGAAAGGAAACGACTTTTCTTTCTCTGCCCACAGTGGGTGAGAGGCTATGAATATTTGCCAAACAGCAACCCAAACTATCTCCCCTGTCTAAGTGCCACTTGCCACGAAGCCTCCCAGGCTTTCCTGACCACCCAGCCCTCCTCACCCACCTCGGAACCTCCTGCTTCATGATAGCCTCCTCTGGTCCTGGCTCAGTCAGCATGAGGTGACGTGCGTCCTGTGGCCTCACGTCATCCTGTGGTTTGCAAACACCCTGCATTTGAAGCACCTCCCGAGGTCGCACTTGCCCTCCACAGCCCTTAGCATGGTTCCTGGAACACAAGAGGTGCTCAGTAAATGACTTACAAATAAATGAATGTGAGTTGTGCCTCTGACTCAAAGGTGACTCCACAACCATAAGGCTTTCTTCAAGTTACGTGCAGAAGGGCCAGGTTCATGGGCGCCAGGCTCCACAAGGGAATGAGCCTCCCCTGCCTGCTGGGATGGCTTTGACCTGCTGGCCCCACCTCTAGGCCCCCAAGGTCAGGGACAAGGAACTAGGATCTTTCTTCAGCAGCCAAAGATGGCCGTAACAAGATGTTCCCTCCCTACAGACTCCTCAGGCCCGGGTACAATTGCCAACCATCCCCACACAGCTTTTCTAACATGGCAGCAACCCACGCTCTCTAAAAGGGATAAACCACCAAAACTAAGAAGTCCAATTAACACCCAGGAATGGGATGAATACGCACTTCCTCTGCTGGTGGAAATGTGGCTTCACATCTCCCTGTATGGGCAACCCTCTCACTAGCTCCACACAGTTGTGGGACACAGAATTGTCAGACTCACCCTGGCTGTGGGTGCTGGAGTTCTGGGAGCTGGAACCAGGAAAGGGAAGCCATTCTATAAGAGTTAAAGCAAATCAGTGAAATACTTGAAGGTCTTGTTAACAAACAGTGGTCACCAAGGAAACATTTGTTGGATGGATGGATGGATGGATGGAT